AGAATGAAAATAATCTTTGAAACAAATTGGTTTGATTGTTTTAAAAACTATATAAGAGCAATTTTTGTAGAAGAAAAAACATAACGTAATCGTTTTCATATAAAAAACTTAATATCATGTCAAAAAAACACAGCTTCAGTAGCTAAAATGCAAAAAATGATGCATGAAATGCATATTGATGATAAAGCGTCTACTTCGTCTCAATTCATCTTACCAATAGTATTTGAAAATCAATCTTTCAACCATTCTCCATATCATCAACAACAGCTACAAAAAACAACATTGTGATCGTGCACGGTTTTTTTACCGATTGCGTCAAAAGAAAAAGCAACGTCATCTTCAACATGGTCCATTATCTGTACGTCATCATCAATAACATGTAGAAGAAATTAAAAGACATAATCAAGAGCAAAAAATGGAAAATAAATTGATTACCGCTATAGTTGGTTCGTCAATCGCTCGAAATATATCAGTAAAAAACATAGAAAATGAAACGAATGAAGTGCGTCTTAGATTTAAATCGGGTAGTGACTGTGCTGATGCTCTATCATGGTTGGAATCAACTGATGGTCAATTTTTTATGCGCAATGTCAATCAATTAATTTTCATACTTGGCACAAATGATATTCACCGAGTTGGAGCTTTTGAAACAGCTCAACGTATTGATTATACAATTGAAAAAATTCGACGTTTATATTCCGGCGTAAATATTATTTGGCAGCTTCTTCAACAGCGCACACGAAAGACCTGGCTTTTACCTGAAGGCCAGGCAGTTTTAAATGAAATTGAAAAATGTAATGGGTTTCTACTCGAATTGGCTGCCAAGAAGAAATTTGATATTATCCAACCGGCAATACCAATTCAATACATGTACGATGGCCTACATCCATCAAAATATGGAGTTGAAATGATGGAAGCAACCATTCGTAACTACCTACAACAAAACAAAATGGTATACTCTTCCTCATTTTCAAACGTTCCTCGTCGTTTTCAAAGTAACGTATATCCTCCTCCATTAATGTCGATCAATCTTTAAATATTCAATGTATTAAATTGTTTAATAAAATATCTATATCAAACTTTTTTTTCTCATGATTTAATGTATTCGTTATCAAGTCTAAAAGCGCAAGCTTAGTCTTTTTCAGATGCTTCGGATGCTCACATAGCTATAGATCATATTGAATTATAAATATCAATGAATATTGTTCAACTATCGATGTTTATGAATTTGATCCAATGATCAATATATATAAACTTGACTCAGCAATAAGTATCTTTGAATCATATTGTCTTAAAAATATCTTTGAATTGAATTGAACAATAAATATCTTGAATTGAATTGAGAAATACAAATTCTTGAAATGAGTTGAATTGAGAAATGAATAATTTTGAATTGAACTCAATAATAAATATGTTTGAATTGAACTCAATAATAAATATGTTTGAATTGA